TGACTTTGATGATGAAGATAATTAGGCTTCTGTTTTAAAAGTAGGAAGAGTTCAGGGAAGAAGGTTTTTTTGCATAAAAACATCATTTTTCGACCCCCATTTGAACCGCCGGCGCCAAGTGAATATTCCGGAACCCTACTGCACATTTACATGACACCATCAACCAACTCCCAAATGATGATTAGGATACTGTGTAAAATGTAGGAGGAGTTCGGGGAAAACGGGGTATTCTGCATTAAAAACATCATTTTTAACCCCTATTTGACCCCCGGGGGCGGGGGCAAAATGAAAATTCCGACACCTTGCTGCTCATCTTCATGACACCACCAACCATCTCCCAAAAGATTATAAGCCTAACGATACTGTGTAAAATGTAGGAGGAGTTCATGGAATAAGGAGCTTTTTGCATAAAAAAACATCAGTTTTCGAACCCCATTGGACCCCCTGGGACAGATTGAAATTTCCGAAACCTTACTGCACATCTTTATGACACCACCAACCATATCCCAAAAGATGATTAGGATACTGTGTAAAATGTAGGAGGAGTTCAGGGAAGAAAAGTGTGACAGACGGACGGACGGACATGAGTAACAGCAATATACCCGAACTTTCTTTATACAGTGCGGGTATTACAAAGCCATGATTGATCATTAAAATGAAAGCAACTGAAACGGTAACATAGATTTAAATTTGTTCAAGGCTATATCAATGAAGATTTACATCTTATAAACGGACATTATGTGTCATATTAATTCAAAAGCATCCTTAGGAAGTGTACGTTTGAGCGTCTTTACTATGTTTTGATTTGAGCTTGTTCAAATAACCCCCCCCCCCAACCCCCTTTCTCCTGAACCCACTTTTATATTTAATTAAGAAATAAGTTATCATTTTAGAGTGTCATTGGAATATGACTTGAAGTCGGTCACGTGATCAAATTCTATAACGCCTGAAGGTAGATTTGATCATGTACCGACTTCATGTAATATTCCATTGACACTCTAAAAATAATATCTTATTTCCTATATTTATATTTTTATTTCTATTCAAATAACAAAGACAAAATTTTCTATTTAGACTTTGTTATTGAGTGCAACAGAACGTATACATACGACGTCATCACAGTTACAGTCCCTGAAACGTTCTTCTTTCCCATTTTTCCGTTCGCTCACCGTTCGTTCAGCGTTCGTTCACCGTTCGTTCAGCGTGCGTTCACCGTTCGCTCTTCGTTCACAGTATTGCGTTCACCGTTTAATGTGCGCTCGCGTTCATCGTTCACCTTGCGTTCACCGTTCGCTCTTCGTTCCGTTTACTTTGCGTTCACCTTGCGTTCAACGTTCACTTATCGTTCAGTCTTCATTGTCATTCGGAGCTCCGAAGTGAAAAGACTTATCTTTTTGATGGTAAGGATTTACATGTTTTTAATTAAATAACTTAGATATCGTGTTTGAAGAATAATTATTTCATTGCAAAAATTATCTTTGATATTTATATTTCTACTATAATAACTTAGCTATTACTTATTTCATGAATTTTCCCCGGAAAATAATTAATACATTAAGTACCTGCATGTATGTAGAATGATGCAAAAATATTAACTTCAAAACGGGCAATGTATAAATGCTTCAGGCACGGCATCAATATGATGTAATTTTAAAGAGGAAAAATTATTAATGGATGCATAATAATTAATCCAAGTCTTTTACAGGACAAGAATACATGTGCATAAAAAATATTTCTACAGTAACACGTATTTAAACTACATATAGGTTTGAGAATTATGAACAGTACTGCAAATATTCAGTTAATTAAATATCTTTAGAGCTAATTAAATTGATGGTGTTGTTTTAAATTTTAGAAAAGACCAACTGTTTTAAATAGTTTATTATTAGAGAAGGAAAATTCCTTCCTTTATAGTACCTAAACATGTTTTAAAATATGTTTTTTTGACATTCAGTATAATTAAGACCCCCCCCCCTCCAAGGTGCCTTTTCTCCCGAAATAAAATTCTTATTGAGTTTTTTCAGTATATTTTAATTAATATTTAATTTTTATTGTAACGCAAGAAAATCAGTCTTAAAACAAACATCAAACAGTCATTAAACAGTAGTATTTTAGTATGAACTTGTGCCGACAATAGTATTTTAAATTGGCAGGGAATATCTTTCACATTCAATTTCAAACTTAATCCTTCCAAGTATATATTCGAATTATTTTTTTTTTTTTCTGGAGAATGCAAAAATCAGATCTAGAAATGAAAGGGGAAAAATATTAAAATTTCTTGGAATACTAAGTGACTCTTTGCCTTCGGCATGTTCGGTGAAACGCGATTTCCACATCTCCACTGTGTCGAATTATTTTGATTGACAGCACAAGCACGCTACTACAAATGTAGCACGGACCACCTGTGAACTGTGTGAACTTGATGATGGAAAATAAAAGCCAATGATTACTGTCGAATGGATTTGTAAATCTAAAAAAAAGATTACCTTTATTGCTTGGAATATTTAGGAAAAATAATAAGAGTTTTTATTTGATACAACATATATCTGAGAATCGAGGGGGTTATCTCTCTCTCTCTCTCTCTCTCTCTCTCTCTCTCTCTCTCTCTCTCTCGTATATTTCTCTGTTCAATAAAAACTATGACAACACATAACTTATCTAGTTTTGAAAATTTAATCGACACATGTATTACAAATAATTTGAATGCCTCTTTCCAACATCTTGACCGAGTATAATCACGGCCGGGAAATGTCTACAGATACATGAAGAAGTTAGCTAAAATAATCATCATAAAAGAATAAAAAAGGCACATAAATATAGAATATTTTGCAGTAGAATTTAAATAAAACGAGAATTTTTATGCAGTACGATAACAGTCAATGTCAACAAATAATTGTGAATTTTAAATAAATCCGTTATTTTACTCAGAATCGCCTTGGCACGGAAATACATGTTGTTTCAACCCCGTACAATGTAATTAATTCATTCTATAAGTAGTAGTTTTATCTTCAGAAGTCCACATCATCTTATTAGTGAAAAGAATAATTATTTACTATATAAGTAGATTAATTTATTTTTTAACTACACACGGTAACAAATACACGTTTGACGGCGATTTAAATCATGTTATTAAAATATCGATTTTAACATAGGTATGTGCAGAAAAAAAATGTTTTTATTATTTAATTAATTAATTAATTTATTTATTTATTTATTTATTTATTTATTTATTTATTTATTTATTTATTTATTTATCTATTGTTTATCTCAGTAGTAGTTTTATCTTCTTAAGTCCACATTATTTTATTAGTTAAAAGAATAGGCATAATTATTTACTATATAAGATTAATTTATTTTTTAACTACATGCGGTAACAAATACACGTTTGACGGCGATTAAAATCATGTTATTAAAATATCGATTTAAACATACGTATGTTCAGGATTTTTTTTATTATTATTGTTTATTTATTTATCTATTCATTTCTCATTTGTTTATCTATTGTTTATTTATATTTATTTATGACATTTGAATAATAGAATAAAAGAATAATTTCAATGCAAGGAAAAGACCGAAGGCATTCCGAATAAATCGTTCATCTTGCGTTCACCGTTCGTTCACCGTTCACTTTGCGCTCGAGTTCGCGCTCCGTTCGCGTTCTACGTTCACTCACCGTTCACCGTTCACACATCGTTCACCAAGTTGCGTTCACCGTTCGCTCTGCGTTCGTTCACCGTTCGTTCACCGTTCAGGTGGGAAAGTGGAACGTTTCAGGGACTGTAGGACTTTCCAAATATCTCGTGCAGTTTGCTTTATATACACAAGGAAGTCTGATCATGTGACCGACTGCATGTCATCGAAAATTGAATGTCTTTTTTTAGTATTGCTATTTAAGGAAGGACATTGGCAAATGTAAATATACTACTGAACTGACGTTTGCTTTTACATAGCCAGTTGCTTAGGTGAGCAATGTGGCCCCTTGGCCTCTTGTTCTGTGGTTTTCTTTTTTTCTTTCTTTAAAAAAACACACAAACAAACAATCAAAAAACAAAAAAAAAAGAATAAAAAGAGAACAAAAAAAAATACTTGTCTAATTGCTTAATTGGATGAATCTTTAACTATAAAATTTCGATGGCTTGTGTTTTTTTTAAATAACACCTTCCTTTGAGTTCCAACATATTTTTACCTTTCACTTTAATTTTTGAAATTGACCTTTTTTTCAAATTTCATCAAATCAGTCTTTATTTTCGTAAAGAAAATTTGAGGATAGATATTGTGCAATTATAATTCTTGTAAGAAGACTTTTCTTTAGGTGAAATTATTTGTTTACTATTTGTCCTTATTTCAAGCCATGTTTAAAAAAACGTTAAGGTTTTGAAGAGTTGCAGGTATTACAGTTTATTTTGAACTTTTTCGCAGGTATATTTTTTAGAAGACCTTTCTTATAATGATTTTTTTTACCTTTAACCCATGCATTTCAACTTGTACTTGTTTAAAAATAATTTTGCAATAATTATTGAAAATTTGTTGCCAAGACTTTTATAGCTCACAGTTGTATTTCTTAGACCCAACTTTTATTTTATGGAGCCAAATACTTTTAACTTTTTACGTTTGACCATAATCTTTGAAAGTGACATATTTTTATCTTAGTACCCATAATTTATTTACGCTTGGTACATAGACCTCTCTATTTCATATAATTATTTAACATTACCTGTCTTTTATTTTTCTGTTGCAAAACTTTGACTTTAAAGCTCTATAACTTTTCAAAGGTTATTTGTTTTGTTCTGGTTGGTACTGTACAAACATATTATTCATCTTCGTAATACTCTGTACATATGTGAAACTGCTTATCTACTTACACTGTAAATTTGTTAACTTTTTTTCTGATTTGTAAATATTATGAACGAAAGAAAATCTTCTGAAGCATTTTATAGTATTAGTATATTAATATTTTTTATTATTAATTTCATTACGCCAAAATACAAGCAAATGAAAAGTAAATTTGTTGAGGAATTTTATTTAAGCATCTTTACTTTTATTCTATGAATAAACATGAGAATTTTTATGCAAAGAAATAGAAAGAAAAGAAAATGCATAAGTATATATCAACTGAATTTCTTCTCTATCTAACATTCATTATCCCTGGTAAATACATTCTGATTAGTGGAAAAGGTTCTCCAGTAATCTTTTGGATCTTTGAACGCACCGAGAACCCACTGGGTCAATATCTTGTCTTTTTCAGCATAGTATACGCCAGTCCAGCTTGCGAGAGACTTGGCATCCATATATTGATTTTTCCAAGCCACAGTCCATCCGACCATGAAATCCGTTTCATTTACCTGGAGATACCTCCCTGCAAGATCATACCAATTTATAGCTCGTCCAACGCCGCTTTGATATTTACCTGAGATATTTCCATCTTTGCAAGATATATTCATTTTGGAACCAAGCTCATTTGTCCACTTTCCAGCCAATGCACACTGATTTTCATTTCTCTGTTGCTTCATGCAGGGTTTAGTAACTAAAAAAAATTAAGCAAAACTTTGATAAGACTTTCGAATTTTTTTTTAATTTTAAATTTTTTTTTATAATAATTTTTTTTATTTGTTTGTTTTGCAATGTTTAAGTTTGTCATATAATATAAGAAAAGAAACATTGTGATATTTCACTGAGGAAATGAAAATTCCAAAGTTACGGATGGAAAATCAATAAACGTTTTGTTAGATTTAAAAGTAAAAGTAGCTTAATTACCATTAGTGTACAATGACTGAACTGGCAAAACTCCACAAATCAACAACGGCAGTAGGTATTCAGCAATTTCCATCCTATAATTAATTTGATTATTGCTGTGAAGTTTTGGTTGTGACAAGAAACGTTTAACAAACATATGAATAATATTTGACATGGGATACCCTCATTCGTTAAAAAAAAATCGGATAACGGAATTTCTTTTGGATCTTTATGTATATATAATATTTCATAAAGGACCTCCGAAATTTTCCTGGCATGTAACTTTGCTCAAAAATGACACCCCATGTAATTTCTTTGACTTCCGATTATTATTTTACCTACTTAAATGGGATGGTTGACTTTTTTTCTGCGAAATTTTGATAGGTTGGAAATCAAGCATTGGATTCGATAATACTATCAAAAGGGACTTAAGCGTTCGTGACTTGATAAAGAATATCAAAACATTAAATCAAACGCTTCGAAAGGATTTCGAATATAATTCTTGTTAGCTTGATTTTTCTGTAACTCTTTTTCAAATCATTCTAAACAACAAAGGGATATGTAATGAGAATATCTTGATGAGAAATCAAATATTTACTTAAAGATAGATTTTTTTTTTCATGTTGTTTGAAAATTTGAGATGTTCTGTTTGCCAAGTCTACTGCAACATTTATACATGTATCGATATATAATGTAAAAGAAATGTCATTGCGCAGCACTGTTAAAAGGCTAAAAAAAAGGGGGCGGGGCCTTATTTATAGTGGAAGAGTTTACTGTGACATCACACAAAATTATTACTTTTATGCATTCCTCCTATTACCCGAGAATGAAATGATTTGCAACTTTAAACTGTATTAACATAATAAAAAAAACAATAAAACTTATCAATGCATTAACAAAAGTCGCTAGTTAAATCCCATACAGCTGGTTTTCAACAAATCACTGACCTCGATGAACTTGTCAATCATGACGTCATTTTGGTTAAAAAGACGTATTTCATGTGCTGTAAGAGGCAGATTCGGGAATTTTTTATAATGAAATATGCGTTTTATTATAAAACAGAATATTACTTACAGTTTTTTAATAGGCTAATAATACCAATGTATATCCTTTGTTTAGTGCGATTGTTCATTAACTGTCGAGAGAGTGTATTTAAATAATTTTGTCGTGTTTTTATGTTCAGGCTAGGTATATTTTACATCGAAGTGCCTAATTAAATCTCTCTTTCGCAAAGGCATATGCTAAATATATCTTGACCATTTTTTGAATATAAATAAAGGATTTGTTCTTTAACTTGAAAAGTGCTGCTGCTTTCTTTAAATCGAGAACGTGACTTTATAAGTACACTAAATATTTGGTACAAGTCAAACATATTTCAACATGGGCCTATACTTGAAATTTTAACTATTAAAACGCAAATTCTATTCAAAGCAGCAGCACTTTCCAGAAAGTACAAAGTATGCAGAATTAATAGCTTGAATTTTTAATTTCAACTAGGGTATGCCCTTGCGATATTGGAATTTGTTATTGACCTACATTCCGTGTACCTACTATGCATTCATCACGTGACTGTCCATCGATTGGACCAAACTCCATACAGTACAGAGTAGGTTATACTACGCTTTTCCATAAGTATTAAGTTCTGTGATTATAGAACAGCTGAATAAAAATAAATTCAGTTCAAAAAAAAAATTCCGTTTTTGCACTTCTATTTTCCGTTGATTTCTCATAGCAAACCTTAACAGTGCTGCGTGGTCAAACCTTTTATCTCCTTGTAAAAATTAATTTTAATCACGTTTAAGAGAATCTTCTACGAAACAAAAAAAATTGCAAAAGAGTATAGTCTAGTTTTTCCCATGGGCATCAAGACTGCTCATAAGGAAAAAAAGAAGAAGAAAGAAGAAATTAAGGGTATTCTAAAAGAAGTCGAGTTTCTTTATAATGATGATACCAGGGATGTTTTCGGAAGGCGTAACGAAGTAATAATTCCGAATAAGATAATTTTAAGAAAAATAATAAGTGCACTCTACTCTTTTTAGTGCTTTCCCTACACTTCCATAACTGGAGTTTTCGATTTTGTTTTTTTAAATGTCATATTCAATGTTAACTAATATCAAATTCTTACCTTACGATGCATTTTTCACGAAATCTGTCTAAATGATGGTGAAAATTTTCTATGGCAGTGAACTGATTGAGTTGTACATGTTCTGCAATATATAGAGGCCGAGTAACTGCATTTTTAAGGGCTATCCCACACTAAAAGACACGCTTCATGGAATTAGGAATATTTTGTCCTTATATGGAATTAAGTGGGTTTGTTTCATATACAGTTTAAATTCAAACATTTTTGTGAACCGGTCTTAAAATCTATTTGTGCTAACAGTTTCTTAATTTGTAGAGGTTTTGGGATTTTTGTTAAAAAAAAAAAAGCACACGAAAACCGCCAGTGATCATGTTTTTAGATTATGAATATGGAGATGCATACTGATTCTGTCTAACTGTGCATTTCATTTCCATCACAAAATTGCTAGAGGCTAATAAGTTATAATAAATATAACTTAAGATAAGTGCATTTCGAAATTAATCTAAAATGCAGAAATTTATTCTTCAATGATAGTATTCCAGATACGTAGAAAATCAATACATACAGGCTATCCCTTGCGTTTTAGGTCACCTGAGTCACTCAGGTGACCTATTGCTACCTTTTTTTGTCCGTCGTCTTGCGTTGTCCGTCGTTCGTCGTGCGTTAACATTTGAACATTTTCATCTTCTTCTCTGAAACCACTGATCAGATTTCAACCAAATTTGGTATACTGTATCTATGGGTAAAGGGGAACAAAAACTGTGAATTTATGGACCCCGTCTCTCTGTGGCCTTAGGGTTGGGGCAAAAACCACAAAAATTAATGAAATCTTTAAAAATCTTCTTCTTTACTCCTGGACATCAAGCAGTCAAACTGTTAGCATGAATGTAAAATGAATTGGGTCATCTACCAAAATCATGAAATTCATCGCTCCAGGGTCAGGGTTTCTACTGCTAGGGCGTGGCTATATAAATCATACAGTGTAAAAGCATTTATTCCTTGAAAATTTTCTTCTGTGCTTCTGGGTATTACATGTAAATAAACTAACCATGTACATAGTTATGATGAGCAGAAGTTCTACCAAAATTGTAAATTATATGGCCCCAGGGTCAAGGGTTCTGGTGTTACGGCAGGACTCTATTGATTATATAGTGGAAATGCATTAATACTAATACCTACATTCCGTGTACCTACTTTGCATTCATCACGTGACTGTCCATCGATTGGACCAAACTCCATACAGTACAGAGTTGGTTATACTACGCTTTTCCATTAGTATTAAGTTCTGTGATAATAGAACAGCTGAATAAAAATAAATTCAGTTCAAAAAAACTCCCGTTTTTGCACTTCTATTTTCCGTTGATTTCTCATAGCAAGCCTTAACAGTGCTGCGTGGTCAAACCTATTATCTCCTTGTAAAAATTAATTTTAATCACGTTTAAGAAAAACTTCTACGAAACAAAAAAAATTGCAAAAGAGTATACTCTAGTTTTTCCCATGGGCATCAAGACTACTCATAAGGAAAAAAAAAGAAAAAGAAAGAAGAAATTAATGGTATTCTAAAAGAAGTCGAGTTTCTTTATAATGATGATACCAGGGATGTTTTCGGAAGGCGTAACGAAGTAATAATTCCGAATTAGATAATTTTAAGAAAAATAATAAGTGCACTCTACTCTTTTTAGTGCTTTCCCTACACTTCCATAACTGAAGTTTTCGATTTTGTTTTTTAAATGTCATTTTCAACGTTAATTAATATAAAATTCTTACCTTAGGACGTGCATTTTTCACGAAATCTGTCTAAATGATGGTGAAAATTTTCTATGGCAGTGAACTGATTGAGTTGTACATGTTCTGCAATATATAGAGGCCGAGTAACTGCATTTTAAAGGGCTATCCTACACTAAAAGACACGCTTCATGGAATTAGGAATATTTTGTCCTTATATGGAATTAAGTGGGTTTGTTTCATATACAGTTTAAATTCAAACATTTTTGTGAACCGGTCATAAAATCTATTTGTGCTAACAGTTTCTTAATTTGTAGAGGTTTTGGGATTTTTGTAAAAAAAAAAAGCACACGAAAACCGCCAGTGATCATGTTTTTAGAATATGAATATGGAGATGCATACTGATTTTGTCTAACTGCGCATTTCATTTCCTTCACAAAATTGCTAGAGGCTAATAAGTTATAATAAATATAACTTAAGATAAGTGCATTTCGAAATTAATCTAAAATGCAGAAATTTATTCTTCAATGATAGTATTCCAGATACGTAGAAAATCAATACATACAGGCTATCCCTTGCGTTTTAGGTCACCTGAGTCACTCAGGTGACATTTCGCTACCTATTTTTGTCCGTCGTCTTGCGTTGTCCGTCGTTTGTCGTGCGTTAACATTTGAACATTTTCATCATCTTCTTCTCTGAAACCACTGATCAGATTTCAACCAAATTTGGTATACTATATCTATAGGTAAAGGGGAACAAAAATTGTGAATTTATGGACCCCGTTTCTCTGTGGCCTTAGGGTTGGGGCAAAAACCACTAAAATTAATGAAATCTTTAAAAATCTTCTTCTTTACTCTTGGACCGGTCACGGTAGCCTAGTGGTAGAGCGTTCGCTTCGTGATCGGGAGGCCCGGGTTCGATTCTCGATCGCGGCGCCGCGTCATACCTAAGACGTAAACATAGGTAGTGACTGTTCCTTCGCCAAGCGCTCGGCACTAGAAGTGAAAGTCACGGGTCTTTCGGATATGACCTTAAAAACGTAGGTCCCGTGTCACGGTAGGCGTTGGCACGATAAAGAACCCTCAATGCTCAATGGCCCTGAGTGCCGAGTATAGGTCTAAATTTGAAGCCCTTCACCGGCATCGGTGACGTCTCTATATGAGTGAAAAATTCTCAAGAGGGACATTAAACAATATACAATCAATCAATCAATCTTTACTCCTGGACATCAAGCAGTCAAACTGTTAGCATGAATGTAAATTGAATTGGGTCCTCTACCAAAATTATAAAACTCATCGCTCCAGGGTCAGGGTTTCTACTGCTAGGGCGTGGCTGTATAAATCATACAGTGTAAAAGCATTTATTCCTTGAAAATCTTCTTCTGTTTTTCTGGGTATTACATGTAAACTAACCATGTACATAGTTATGATGAGCAGAAATTCAAATAATGACCCCCAAGATAGGACCAGCCCACAAGATCAAGATTACACACGTACATACATATTAATACGGTTAATAGGGGAAATATAGTTAAAAATTTCCATTTCTTTTATATTCCTCTATGATAAGTATTTGAAGGTTAGTTCATGTTTTATTTTGTTTCAATTTTGTTACTTGATCGTTGTACCGGTGTAAAGACAAATAATGACCCCCATCGTATAATGACCGGGGGGTCATTTTTCAACGACAAAAAATGACCCCCACCCGTAGAAAAAAAATCATTTTTTGTAGAAAAAGGGTCCTAGGGGGTCATTATTGTATATGTTAGTCCTATAAAAGAAAAATGACCCCCATTGAAAAATGACCCCCTTTAAAGTGATACAAAATATACAAATATACAAAATATATTTCTTTGATTACTTTTTTACAGCGAAACTAAATTTTACATTTTGTGTAACCAGAAAAATACAAAACGTCGTATGAAATAATTAAGAGATTCACGTAGTCTTTCAATGCTAAAATTGTGTTTGAAAAGAGATTCTTTAATTGTCAAGTAAATAAAATTTCTTTTAAATATTCCTCCTTATAGTGTTTGCTTAAAGAATGATATTCCACTTGTTTTTAGAAATCAAACCATGCAAAAATCAGGTTTAAATACTATTTAATAGGAAAAATTAAATTTTCCGTCAATTCAACTTTTAGTTTGTTTAAGTTTGGCAAATTCCATTTGACAATGAAAGAAGAAATTTTTATCCCCCCCCCCCCCCCACCAAAAAAAGAACATTACGTTAAATTAAAACAAAAAAAAATAATAAATGAAAAGCAAAAATATAAATAAACTCTATACCTTTCAATAATTCTGAAAGAGGCTCTAGATAAAATATTGAAATGAAATGAAGTTAAGCCTTCACACAAATACAATCATATCATAATTTACTTCGCCATGATTAAAGCATACTTTAAATGTTGGTGGAGGTATACTTGAAAGTATTGTGGCAAAGTAACAGTCAAAAATTAGTAGAATAGTAGATGATTTGTAGCTTATTTTTAATTCCTTCTTATAGAAAAATAAAGGTAGGGTGTTTTTTTTGCTTTTGCTCAATATCGACTTCCTCCTAAATAAGAAAGGGGGTGGGTGTAAGTATAAGACCTAAAAATATGCTCTGTAAAGCTATGGGCTAGTGTAAAATACAGTCATTCTAATGCAAAAACTATACATGTAGACATAAACTTTTGATTAAGCACACAGTATTCATTACATTTCTTTTAACGTAGAACCTACTTCGTATGACATCATAACTTGTAAATGTGTTAAACCTGTGCTAACCCATTAAGACGTCACACTGCATTTTGAAATTCACAGAATTCAATTATGCCAACATAATCTTGATTCGATTCATATATTTTTTTGGTTTATAATGCTTAATGGCAATATATTTCTGGAATAAGAGAAAATATGTGGGCACCTTTTATTTACTAGATCTAGACCTGAAGTTGACAAACCCAAGACTATCTAGTGTAATGAAATTACAATGTACATACAACTTTCGTAATAATTTGAATGGTATGTAACCATTTTGAAAGAATGCATAAGTCGTAAGAAATCTTTAGTTGCCAGCTATATAGTGTTATATCTTGATGAAATGTGTCTTAGTCAAAGATGTACGTGTTGTAGATCGTGTGTACATTTTTGTGATATTTGTAATGAAATGATATTCATTCCTTTCCATAATTATTTGTTACTTATTCATATTCTTGGTGTTTGATTACAATTTTTCTATTAAATATGATCTTTGTAAAAGAAAAAGTACAATTTCTGATAAATATTTAATCTGAAAGTAATCCCAAACAGTCATATAATTATCAAATCCCGTGTAAGTGCAAAAAGGTCAAGAATATGAGTATCGGTAAATAGCCTATCTGTCATTAGTTAGAGGGGAAAGGTATATATTTTAATCATTTTTTGTAACCATCTCGCTAT